GGAAACTGAACAAAGAAGATTGACTCTGAAGGAAATGCAAGCAAAGCAGTACCCGTTCCTTAATTCAGACGTCTCTGGCATATTTGATGATCTAATGGGAGCAAAACTCATTGAGTTACCTGAGATGAAGCGTCCTGAAGAAGCTGGTAGGGTGAATGACCCAAAATACTGCAAATACCACCGTCTTGTAGGGCATCCAATTCATGACTGCTTCGTATTCAAGGACAGGGTTATGCAGCTGACACACCAAGGAAAAATTTCACTAGAAGAAAGTAGCGCAACTGCTAATCATATAAGTGAAGTTTGCAACATGACGAATGAGCACGAAGCTCCGCTAGAAGAAAACAATAGGCCTGAGGTTGAAACTCACCATATTGATAACGATTCCATGATGGTCTTTACTGACGAAGATTTGCTGCTTGGTTCTAAGCCTCACAACAGACCATTGTTCGTGGCCGGCTATGTGCAAGAGCAAAAGGTTAACCGAATATTGATTGATGGAGGATCAGCAGTCAACATCTTGCCTCTTCGCACGCTAAAAGAGTTGGGAGTGACCACCGAAGAACTTGGTAATAGTCGATTGATGATTCAAGGCTTTAACCAAGGGAGGCAAAGAGCTCTTGGCATCATAAGGTTGAGGTTGCTGATGGAAGATATGGAATCAACTGCTATGTTTCATGTCATCGATGCAAAAACTTCTTACAATATGCTTCTCGGTCGTCCATGGCTTCATAAGAATGGCGTGGTTCCGTCCACATGGCATCAATGCTTCAAATATTGCAAAAATGGCGTTGTGAAGACTGTGCTTGGTGATGATAAACCTTTTACGGAGGCTGAAACTCATTTCGCTGATGCCAAATACTATTTCAATGATGCAAAACCAGTTGAGAAAGTCTCTTTTAAGCAGCATAAAGGGTCTGAAAGTGAAGAATCAAAGATTGAAGAGGTAGAAAACTCTTTAAAAGAGTTAGTGTTGCCGCTGCGGAAGGTAAATGACGAGAAACCTATCTCCCAACCACCCATGAACTTTGTTCGTCCAAGAAAAGGAGTTGTGACGGAGCATGGTGAAGGATTGAAGAACTCTAAGTGTTTTGATCCAAAAGCCTACAAGCTTCTCGTTAAAGCAGGATACAATACCAATGAAAGTCGCTCTTTGGGAAAGCTCATACCTCAAGAGCAAAAGCACAACCGGGCAGGTCTTGGATATGTGGCATCGAGTCCAATTAGAATCGCCATCAAGAGAGCAAATGCCAACCATGTCTCAGAAGGAGAGTTCTCGTCTTCTGACGGTAAAAAGAAAGAGAAAAGAGTGTCGGTGTTTCAAAGACTCGGTCCGGTGCGAAAGTCAAAAGGCAAACAATCTGTGTTTCAACGGCTGGGATCCCTCAAGCAGTCAAAGCCTTTAAAACAAGAAAAAGGTGTAGGCCCGACTCCAAAGCTTAGAAGTCTAATTCCGTCACGTATGAAACGTCAAACTACCTTGATC